CTGTTCTTCTACTCATCAACATCCACACCCACTCCACACACCCACCCACCCACACCCATCCACACCCACCCCCGCCCCCCCCCCCCCACACCCCACACCCACACCCACACCCCACACCTCACACCCACACCCAAACCCACACCCACACTCCACACCCACACCCAAACCCACACCCATTCCTTCCACCTACTTATACCCATTGCCTGGTGAACTGCTTTAACATTTGGTTAAAAGAATTTAGGTATTCATTTTTTTGGTAAGTTGCAAAAATAATAACACTAAATAAACTAAAAGCAGGAGTACCGAGATGTAATCAAACGAGACCTATTTTCCTATTAGCAACGCACTCTAAACCTTTTGAAAAAGTCTTACTGGATAGACTCAGAAGATGGGCTGAAGGAAACCATATTATCCATAATGAACAATCTGGGTTTAGATCTAACTGTCTTGCCCCAACTAGAGTACTGTCTATACTTCAAGAAGTGAAAAATAATTTAGCTGCGAATGCTCCTACGCTTACACTCTATCTGGATTATGAAAAAATATTCGATTTAGTTTGGTACACAGGACTCCTGGTGAAACTATTAAGGTTAGGTATGCCATTGGTTATTCTAAAACTGATTAAATGTTGGGTAGAAGACCGCACAGTATGTGTTTGTTTTGGTCAAAAGAAAACTGACGTTTTTAAAATACAGGTTAGCCTTCCTCAAGGAAGTAGTTTAAGTCCCTACATGTTTATAGTATATCACAGTGACTTGACTAACTGTTTAGGAGCCCACTCAGAGCATCTATTTGCAGATGACTTATGCGTTATAATAAGAGCTTCACTCGAAAAATCCTTCACATCCCTAGTTAAGTACTTAGAAATTGAAGGTAGTAAAATATGCGACCAAATAGCAAACTACTCACTCCGCTGGAAACAACCAATTAATGTAAGTAAAACAGTAGCACAGATTTTTTATTCTCAATTACAATCCCACCGGTTGATATTTATATGTTAAACCAAAAGACAGAGATAGTTAACACCTTTAAATACTTGGGATTTACATGGACTGTTAAATTGTCATTAAAGCCTACGGTAAATAGATGCTTAGAGAACATTAATAAGTCACTATGTAAATTGAAATGGCTGAAAAGTGGCAAATTACTGTCCAAAGTAGTACTAAGACGATGTTTCGTCGCTTACACCTTTTCTCATTTTCCGTGGTTATTGCCTTTCTACCCTTTTCTTCTCCAAACACAAAAGGAAGCACTAACTCGCAAATTCAGAGTAGTAATGCGTATAATACAACGTGCACCATTTATTAAAGCACAAGAACTCCTATCTTTTTCTCACGAAAAACCAATTGAAAAGTACGTCAACGTTATATATCTAACAGACTAAAAAATATATACACATCAGACTTAGACTCCTCCCTTTTGCTGAATGGCTTATTTTTCTGGGATTATTACCACAAAACGACTAATCACTCCATGGGTCTTTTTTTCACCATGAGGCGGATCAAGAACTTGAAAGCTAGACACCATTCATTGCTCCTTACGTGGCTGGATTTCATAAATCAGCCTCCGTAAGCATCTACTCCTACTCTTAGCATTCTTAGCATTCCAGCATCTTGTTCAGAATTCATTGTTGTAGCAGTTTTATTCACCATAACTTTTTCTGTCTCTGTTCTATGCCTGCTCT